AACCATGTCGGTATACCCCGCACAGTTCCCTCACAGCCTTGTTGCTACTTTCTAAGAAAGGTATCCCTCAGATCCGGGTTAGGATCTATAGAACTCCCAAGCAACCCACAATTTAAAGCAAGCAATTCAGACAATTGAAAACACAGTTATGAACTATTCCTAAGGTACACCTCACTTTTATAAGAATCCCCAGCAGAGTCGCCAGTTCTGTGATCGGTGGATCTGGAACTGACTGTTTTAAAGCTGGTTCGCGAAATGTCGCGGAAGCAAGAGTCGCCACCGTCTTTTATTTTCTCCAAATGGAAAGGACAAAAGCACAGAAAAATTCCTTTAAAGAGATTGCTCTCGGTTCGGGAGGTAGGTTATAGAAAGGGAAGGTGTTAGCACCCTTTCTATCCATGGTTATCCATGGGCTCTTAGATACTTGCTCAATGTGTTTTCAAAATGTTTGCTTGCTTTTCAATGTGGGTTTCAAAAATATTCTTTGAAAAGTTTCAGTTCAACTCGTACGTCAGAGTGTTTGAAAAGTTTGTTGTGAAAGTTTTTGAAAGTGTGTTGGTGTGAAAAGTATTTTGATTTGTTTGAAATTAGAGCAAGTATCCTTGAGAACCTACCTACCCTAAGGAATTCGTCTGTGTAAATGTCCTTTAAAGTAGTGCCATCCCACCATTGAGAGGTAGGTAGCACCACCGTTGGAGGTGTTCGGGTCAATTCGAGCTTTAGGGACATGGTGATCACCGGAGCAATGGGAAGACACCTTAGAAGCTACCCTTATGCCATTGATCTTTTATTCCGAGGCAACTTATTCGAGGCAACTTGGTTTTAGGCAACTAGATCAATGGACACAAGGACTTACTAAAACATCCTCTACTCGACGATCACCTTTTCGAAAGGCAACAGTGAAGCGTACCCTAGGGGTGGTGTGTGAATTGTGTGTCATTTTCAGTTTATCGTTTGTCTTGTCATGCATTGGTGATCTAACGATTCGATTTTATTTTTGGGCATTCATTCTTTCATGTTATTGTTTAACAGTTAAAAAGTGCGGGAATTTAAAGTGCGGAAAAGATAAAAGTCCTACGCTATTACAAAGGGCGAGGGTCTACAACGCCAAATTAATCCAGACCCGTTTTAAAATAAATTGCAGAAAAGAAATGTCTAATAGCTATTATATGGCTTTGGTACAAGTACATTATATTCACAAAAGAAATAAATGAAACACGCGAAAAAGAAAATAATCAAATGTGAGGGCGTTGGACCCTTTAAAGGAATTAAAATAATTAAGTTATCTAAAATTAAAATTAAATGAAAAATGGTATTTTTGTGTTTTTTAGATTTAATGAGAAAAAGAAAAATTAATTGAAATTAAATTAAATATTAGACCTAATTCTATTATTTTTTAAGTTTATTATGAAAGTTTTAACTTTTAACCTAATCTAATTCTAAATTAATTTATGTACATTTTTTTTATTTATGAAAATAAATAAACAACATTATTATTCTGAAATAAAAGGAAAATGAAAAAAAGAAAATAAAAAGTTATTAAACCTAAATTCTAGTTTTTTTGGATTTTTATTAAAAAGAATTAAAATTATACCCTAATTAAACTAAATGAATTACATTTTAATTTATTTATAAAAGTAATCAAAATTAATTATATTTTTTTTGTCCTTTTTGTATTTTTAATGTTTTTATATTTTTGTAAGAATTAATTAAATCAGAAAATAAAATACACAAGCAAATGATTAAAAATAATAGAACATAAAGAAAATTAGAAAAAAAAAAAGATAGAACCAGGGGGGTGTTCTGTCCCATTGTGGAGGTGTTGATTTGAAAAGCCTGGCCCATTTGCTTGAATTGGTTGACTTTTCTAATCATATGTGATGCAGTTGACTTGATGTATGATGCATCTTGAACATTGACCATGGATCTGATGCCCTGGGACACGTGGAGGTTGAATTCTGATGGAGTATGGTGAGCCTGAATGTTATGTCTGCACGTAATTATTAAGAGAAAAATAATATGGAAATTTTCCAGACCTGGGACTCGAACCCAGGTCATAAGCATTGCAAGCGCTTCCCTCTGCCACTGAACCAATTCACTTTCAATTAATATATAATAGTAAATAAATATTATAAAAAAGAAACATCAATGCTCTTTAAAACGCGCGCTAATTCAAATTCCTCCAATCCACTTGTGCCACGCTATCATCCCTTCCATTTTCCTGAAACACAAAGAAAGAAGGCAACGGTTTTCACTGTGTTTCCTTAGGCTACTTTTGGAGAAATAGCGAATAGAGCTATAGGCTCCATAAATTGTTCGCGAATAGTGGTACGTGTCCGTCTCAACACCATGAATTCAATGGCCATGGTCTGAAGCTCTGATTTTCCTTGTTTGCAAAAGCCCTAAATTTAAAAACCTGTAACCCTAATATTCGAAAATGGTAGATTCGCGTATGCTCAACAAAAATGAAATCAAACACCATGGTTAGCTCAGAAACATCATTGTGATCATGAATATATAAATAAAAATGAAAGAAAATGCTTGAATTATGCTATGCCATTTGAATTTTTTTGCTTCACGGTTTGACTTGTAGCTACCGTTTCAGGGTGTTTTGATTGATGTTAGTGATTGAGATGCGTTCAGGAGTGCCTCAGGAAGCTATTGGTATATGAATCAAGGCTTGAAAAACTCTCTAACTTTGAAATCAGTTTTGCATTATATGGCTAATTTTTCAAAATGTCCCATGGCTTTTCAGCGCAGCATTTGGTCTTCTATGGTTAGGGTTTGACTTAATGATCATCATGGAATGGAATTGGCTTACTCTTTGACCTAGATTCAAGCTCATGAAGGAATTAGTCTTAGGGTTTTCACTCTTAACCATTTTTCCTCCTTTTTAGCCAAAACCTAGACCTAGTGTGCAAATGAACCCTAGCCTGATTTCTTGAGTTGGTTCATGATACATAGAAATTGTCCAAGTTCACATGACACTATTCCATTGGTTTTTAAATTTTATTTGAATTTTCAAAGAATTAAAATGAATTAAATCATCAAAAATTAAATAAAATGGAAAAATCAATATTTGGTCTTGAAATTAACCATGGGACACGTGTGTGGCATGACAAGGATGGACCAAGTGGAAAAATGGGGCCCTTTTGTCAAAAATTGGAGTTTCAAGGATAGTTGACTTTTGCCATTTCACAAAAATTTCCCAACTTCTACAAGGCATAACTTGCTCAATTTTTAAGCTTTTCACATGTTCTTGGACATTTTGGAAAGGTCTTTGAGTCCTTTAACCAATGCCTTTGGTCCCATGTCATTTTGATTTACCAATCTCAAGTTATGGCCTTTGACTTAAAGTCCCTTTTTGTTGACTTTTGAAAATGACCTATAATGTTGAAATTGATAACTTTTTGTGAGAGCATTTCTTGGACTTGAAGTATGAAGATGAGTTGTAGGAAATGTCTTTCTCTTCAAAATGAGCTTTGGATGGAATTTTTCTGATAATCCATGTGAAAGTTATGCCCTGGTCAATTTCAGTTGACTTTTTCAGCTGTCCAAATATAGCAACTTTTGCATCTTTGATGATTTCTGAGCCAAATTTTGAGAATCATGATCAAGCATTGATCAAATGATGTTTGTGGCTTCAAAATGATATGTTGATCAAAAATTTGAACTTTTGACTGCCAAATGACCATTTTGCCCCTACAGTTGACTGTAGTGCAATTTGGGGTTTTGACTGTGCAATCTTGAGCTGAATGCCTTGAAACTTGATATGAGGATGCTTGACCATGTTTGTAAGCATATGAGACTTGATTGAGCCTTTGAAAACTTCATTTTCTTGATCAGAACTCAAACCCTAGTTTTGACTGTATAGGAGACAGTTGACCTGCACAACCTTTGGAGAATTTTGTGACTTGGCTTGGCAATTTCTTGAGGAATATGGGAGGGCAAATTTTGGGGTATAACAGGTGCCATCTAGACGAGGTTTGATAACGTCCAATTAAGTTTGTGTAACCAAGAATATTGGGTTGAGAATTATAGGGGATTTTATCTGAAAAAACCTAGGGTTTGTTTTCTTACTTTACAAAGTTGATTTACATCAAGTGCGCAACATTTGGTTCAGAGAATATTGAGTTAGCGATTTAAGAATCCATGCACATAAAGCGGACACACAAATATTTCGACTTAGAGGAATCCCAGCATTTCGAACAGTTCTAACGTCGTAACTTCATGATCATTTTAATTGAAGATCAATGCATTTTCTTACGATTTTTGCAACACAAAGGTTGAAGATTGTTCTTCAAATTTTCCATTGATCATGAGTTCATAACAAATGGAGCATCAAAGCTCATAATACATGTCCATAAGGTGGGTTGTATGGCCACGAATCCAGTATCATACTTGGCTAGATTTTTACGTCATGCCACATGTTTTAGTGTATCGTTTGGATATAAGGCTATAGTACACGCAGGTTGTAGAGTTTTACTCAATTTAGCCCAACAAAAAGTGTACATGCAGGCATAATGGTGGAGTTTTCACTCAAAATAGAAGATTCCTTCTAGTTAATCTTGCATAATAAGTTTGTGTACAGCTCATGATATGGACTCATGACAACTTCTCTATTCCCTTTCTAATCTGATAAAAAAGCAACAACAATACCATCCATACTCGAGCAACTCGCGGGCTCACTCTCCCTTAGTTATTCATTAAACGAACTCAAAAATTGGATGTAGGTTGAAATCACGCTCGGAGCATATTATATAGGCACATACTCTCCATTGTTTAGAGTTAGTTACAAATATGTTACAATGATAAAAAATCTCTCTCTCTCTCTCTCTCTCTCTCTCTCTCTCTCTCTCTCTCTCTCTCTCTCTCTCTCTCTCTCTCTCTCTCTCTCTCTCTCTCTCTCTCTCTCTCTCTCTCTCTCTCTCTCTCTCTCTCTCTCTCTCTCTCTCTCTCTCTCTCTCTCTCTCTCTCTCTCTCTCTCTCTCTCAAACAAGTTAACTCTTTTCTCTCATCTTCAACCTTGGATTCTTCCACCAATTCTCTTCCATCTTAAGCAAGCTTGTGCTCTTCTTCCTCATCTCTACAAGGAGTTGCTTCTCTGGTGTGCATTTATTTTGCACAAGGAGCATCGTGTAGCTCAGGCTAGCTTCATCAACTTCCTCTGTGACTTCAACAAAATTCAAGGTTTCTAAAATATTGTTCATCATCGTCAAGGGTTCTTGGAGCAGTTGTAGGGTTCTCTAAAGGTTTTTATGCAAGTTAACAGATTCTCCGACATGTAAGCTTTCTGGTTCTTTCTCCGCATGTTAGGCTCACCATGATAGCACCATTCGTTGCATCTGTGAGCTCTGCACAAGCAGAGGCGGGCGTTAGACGCAAACACGTGATTGATTCTTGAAAGTTCAGTTGGAATGTTAAAGTCCATGTCCAGATTTCATATAGTTTAAGAAATTTTTGTCAATTCCGAGCTAGGATTCAGATTTAGGGCGCGAAACAAAATTGAGAGGCACGTTTTCATGTTCGTTTTGCTGTCGTTGAGCCGTCGGCGCCGCTGTGAAGGGCGGCTTATTGCCGAAGAAGACGAACGACAATATGTTAGAGTTTAGCATAATTTGGATCAGGGAGTGACGGGGCATTTTGCCACTGGTCATGAGTTGTTTTCGGTTTTCATTTCAATTTGTTCTTTCTTGCTTTGTTGTTCGTTCTACTGTGCAAAAAAGAAAGAAAATTAATTTCACTTATTCAAATTTCTTTGACTGATTGAGGTAAGTAATGTGGCGCACTAAATAAAAAATCTGAAGGTAGGTTTTGTGAATAAAAATCTGATTTAAAATGCTCAATGGATCAAAGCTGAATGGGCTTAGCAAAACGTACTAATTACACCCTATTCACTTGCCCAAATGTGGAATGTGAAGGAATTTAGTTCATTTCTGAATTGCTACGACACTCCCTCCCCTTTATTTGAATTCTGATTCAAGGAAAAATGTATTGGGTTGAAAATAAAAAGGGCCTGGCACGAGATTCATATCCCCCCTATTAATGAGCCAAAGTGCCAGCTTCAATTAAGTTCAGTTCAATTACATAATTGCTAATATAACCCCTAGAAATGGTGAATACAATTTTTAATACTTGATTAAAATGGCTTGCAATTTGATTTTTTTTAAGTTTTGTAAAAAATCCCCAAAAATACTTTTTGACAATTTTAGTGTCTTGACTAAATTTAGGTATTTTTATTTTATTTTTTTCGTATTAATTGCATTTAATTGGGGACCAATTTTGCAAGTATATGCATGTTGTCTTGATTGAATTTGTGACTATGAGTTTGATACTTATTTGAACTAGGTTGTGGCTGAATTTTTGGACATATGATAGGGCTAATTGGCAATGGATGTCATGTTGATTTGTGGCCTAATTGAAATATTTTTCATGAATAGCAATGTGCATTTTGTGAAGTCTTGATTCTTTGTATACTTATGGATTAAGGCTTGATTAATGAATTGTTCGAAGCATATTCTTTATGAGATAGATTATAGGACTTTTCTTGACATGATATGTGGTCCTATAACCTGATGTTCACAATTTCATCTTGACCATTTGATGCTTTTAGGTCATTACTTGATAAATATTTTGATTATCACAAAATGGATGTTTTTTTGTCAACTTTTTGACCTAGTTTAAGAGTGAATCCTAATAGGCTTTCATGATGCTTTGAAATATGATTGAACAACTTGATGATAAGCTCTTTGTTTCCTTAATTGACTTCTTTATTTGATTGTTAAATCACTTGTTTGATGATACATGTTCATATGCCTAAATGTTGATGTATGACACCATTTCCTCTAGTTAGGAGTTCTTGCTTGTTGAATCCTTTTCATGGCTTCTAGATGTGACTTAATGAGACTTTCTTAAGTTTTGTTACTTGTCCAAATGAGGTACCTACTATTTGTGTGGGTATGCATATGCATTGTGCTCAAAAGAATCATGACCACGCTCTTAACTTGTTTGTGTCTTGATTAAACATTCACGTAAGTGTAGCCTTGCTTCTTGTGAAACCTTTCAATGACTTGCTAAGTGTTGAAGTGACTTCTTTATAAAGTTGTTAACATGTTTAGGTAGATTTTTCCTTGATTTTTAAATCATAGTTGAGTCATATGTTAGTGAACTATAGTGTTTGGTTTATAGGTTGATAGTTGGATATTTTTTTACCTAATTTGGGTACCTGGTTTCTTTGATGCTTAATTTTCTTGTGAGTATTGTTTAAGATAAAACAATATGAGTATTCTACTGACTTTTAAAGTTGTTTACTTTGTGTAGCTTTAAACATACTTACATGATATGCTTTGACTACCTTGTGACACTTAAAAGCATGTTTCTTCTTGTACTTGTTCAAAATGCTTAGTGTAGGTTTGAAAACCATGATGCATAATCCTTAGGCTTGATATTTAGCCTATGTTTACACCTTTATCCTTGATGTATCATCCTCTCACATGTGTGGATACCATGTTATGAATCATCCAATTGTTTGCTTTAGAAGTTGAAACTTGAAGCATGTTTGTGTTCCATCTTTTGGTATATGAACTTGGTCTTTGTAAACCCTCTTGTTATTGATGATTATGTAGTTACCTTTAACTCTTGTTCATTTTTTAGTGATAAGTGCAAATTGTAACTATTTTTGTATATACTTTTTTTGCACTTATCAACTTTTTATGGTTAATATCGGTTGAATAACCCAACTTTATGTATAAATATGTTTAGTTTATGTATAATGTATTTTTGTGTACATATTGTATCGATTGATAGTTTTGTATTCATTTTCAAGGTAATTGAACATTGTTGGAGCAAGAGGAATAAAAGCTCAAAGATGCATTTTTAGATCAATAGAAATAAGGCCAAGAAGAGAGAGAGACAATTAAAGTTGTGTAGAGAAAGCAATAAAAGTTGTTGAACTGGTGTGCATCGTTGGGCGATGGCTGGACGAGTTGTATCACGTTTGTGTCACCGGGTGACGATGGAGCGTTGGGTTGGAGTCAATTTTCCAGTTAGGTCTGCCTTGCTTCGCTGTTGTGTCGTTGGGCGAGAAAGAGTAGCAGCATCGGGCGACGTGAGTCTTTCACCGGGCAAAAGAAGATATTTATGGCCAGTTGCCTACGTGGCATAGTCTAGGCCAAGAGTTTAGGTAGAATCGTCAGGCGACGTGTTTGTGTCGTTGGGCGATGGTCGCGTAAAAAAATTTCTTTATATTTCCTTTTCATTACATTTTGTTTAGTTATGGTTTTGGGTGTGGTTTTTTATCTCCCAACTCCATCAACCTCATTTTTATAGTGGATTATCTTATATAACAACTATGGAGCTTGCTTGGGATGACCTGGGCTGGATTATTCTTCGATCGGTGTTGACAAACCAATAGATTTGTGGTTCATTTCTCTTTTTCTTTGTGTATTCTATTTTAGTTGGGTTTGTATATGTATTTACTTTTAAATCATGTATATTTGTCACCCATGGCGTTATATAAAACTTTCTTTACAAATCTTTGTCGATTGTTGTCCTAGATTTTTGCTTCTGTGCTCGGGATTTGGATTGTTATATATATATATATATATATATATATATATATATATACTGCTTTAATTCTTATCTAGGATGATAGTCTATTGGTTTCTGGACTCTAGAGATAGATTTAGAGCTGACATTCACTTGGGTGTCTCTGATTAATGCCTCTATGTTGGTTGTGTCGCTCTGAGAGATCGTCGACGCGATCCGCACGATTGACTTCTGTGTTGTTGAGGTGGTTGAGAGATCACTACCGAGGTGATACAGTAGGCCTCTCAATTTAGGTTAGAAATGACTTTGGTTGTGAGTGATACGTGGTGACATTGACGAGTATTGTAGGTTGAGTATAACTGATCTATAGGTTTAAATATGTGAGAAGTAATATATATGCACACTTGATAAGTTATTTCTTTTTCTTTTATTTTTGTTTACATTTATTCTCTATTGATAACTTTTACCCTTTCCATTCAAACCCCTAAACTCATTAACGAATGATTTGTCAAACAACGACTCGATAACCAATCTACGTGGACACGATACGATATAACCTATATCACTCGGTAAAATAATACTTTACTTTTTGTTTGTCGCTATACCGTCACAACAAAATGGCATTGTTGTCGGGGGTTGATTTATTGTTTCGCATTGCGATAATTCTTTTGTTTTTAGTTTTATAGATATGGTATATATTGTCTATTTTTACTTGTGTATATTGATACTTATATATGTTTACTATACTTATAAATTTGTTATATCATTATTTGTTTCCTTTCACGTTTTCTTGTGTGTTGGTTAGGAATAACCGGGTGGAAGCAACTTGGAGGAATGTTCTTAAATAACAAGCGTCGAGCTTACGACGTAAAACAAGCATGTTTTATTGATTTTCATTTTGTTAGTTTAGGTAGTTGAATGCAATTGTCTAAACAAATTTAACTCGGACTAGTTCTTAAATTTCATATCTTCACTTTTAAATTTATTTAAACATTTTTATTCAGTCTTTTAGTATGTTTATATTATTTATGTTCATTTTTGTGTTTGTCTTGAAGCTTGTTGTTAATAGCTTGAGGATATTGAGGTGATTTATAAAGTTTTATCGTTTCGACTTGCGAATGTGTGGTAATGATTTTGTTAAGGTTTTGTACATGTTTGAGGTATGTGTTTATCGCTTTCTATACTTTAGCATATTCATGATGCTTATACTTTTTACAATTTTTATGCCATTCATTCTTTTGTACACTTGTTCATTTATGAATCACTTTAGTTTCTACCCTTTTTGTGAGGTAGCTTTCAATTGTTCATATATGTTGGCGACCACAATTCTTGTTTTAACTAGGTTTTATTATGCTTAATCTTTTATTTTGTGTTGATTGTATGAATACATGAAAAGGATCAAAGCATTTTTATTTGATTTTGAGTATAACTACCTATCCAAATAGTCAATTCACCTTGTGAGTGTGTGAACTTTTATAACCCCTTTTGATCCTTTTTGTCAATGTCTATGTTGTTTTGAACCTAATGCTTGTCTATGAGTGTTGGTTTTCCTTTCTGAATGGACATTAATTCTTTGTTTTCTTGAACCATTAACTATTATTTATAGTTTGAATTTTTGGATTGCCTTAGAAAGTAGGGAGTATTCATATTATGATGATGGTTGAAT